GGAATGATATTCACTTTATTACGGTTGAGTAAGGCACGTGATTCACACACTAAGAAACCAAAAAATTTCATCCCAGATATACAGACTACAATCGACATATTTTTTACACCGCCTGAACTCGCTTCTCACTTCATCTACACAAAAAAGAGAAATAAGAAGTTGAGCTTTTTAAAAAGAAATAGGGCTCTTGAAAACGTAAAAACGAGAAAAATCCAAACTTGTGCTCTTTTTATCCTAGCAGAAACAAAACTATACTAAAGATTAAAAAACACAAGCCGGCGTAAAATAGGGTGCAGTGTTTGACAAAAATTCATCACAGCAGTTTGGGAACTAAAAAAGATTACCGTTTAGCAAACTCATAATAATACGTGTAGAACCCCAAGTGAAAAAAAAAATACCCAATCAAAAAAGACACAAAATTTGCAAATTAAGTATTACCCAGAAAACAATTCAGTTTTGCTTAGAGGAAGCAGTTTGGCACAAACATAACAAAATAATCAAATGAGCAGTATATAATGCATGATATTACGGTGTAATAAAACGAATCAATCTGATTCCCAACCCATGACTGGTTCAGCTTCCCATGATTCCAGCTGCAAAAGTTTTTTTTCTACTTAGTGCTGAAAAAACAGAAGGACAAAGCTAATTTCCTAAAGTACATTCACAGAATGATTAATCAAAAAAGCAGCATAATAACCGCTTATAAATCTAAGGTAAGAATTAAAAATTTAGTAGTATCTAGGAAGTAGGACCTACATTGACAGATTCGTGCTCATCTGCATTTACTGCAAACCGATTAGAAACAGCAGTCTTGCGCTGGCCCTCACATTCTTCTAGAGGAGCATCGTGAAATTGAATAATTAGTTTAGGCGCACTTGAAACAACGGGCTCCATACCCGCAAAATAATCGGGTTCCTCCACTTTAATAGTTTCATCATCAGCAATTGTATTTTTTCCTTTTGCATCGTACCTATCTCGCTTAACACCAACCGAAAGAGCATTACCTAATTACGAGTTATTTCAAACATTTTCCAGACTAGAAGCAACTGTAGTACGCTCATCTAATGAGTAGAAACCGGAGCGACCTGATGAAGTCTCACCCCATCAAGAACGAAGATATTAAATATTCAAATAGTTACTAAGACAAAAGGTTGGTTTAACATTTGATTAAATGGTTTAATTACCTCTGTAAAGAATCTAGGCTGACTGAGTGACTACCGTTAATTAGAGTACTAAACAATTTAACTTATTGCCACGCCAATAACTGCAAAAAGTACCTGTCGGGCTTAGCCTTTTACCTACTGTCAGCAGGTTATTCTGTTCAAAATCTTTACGACCATCCAAAGTTATTGGACTAGAACAAGGACGCTCCTCTGCGGCGTTGAACTCATCCGTCGACTCCCAGTGCCCCTCCCAACTGTCATTGACCCTATCTTTTTCACTGTCGTTACTCTAAAACTCATCGCCACAGTAAATTATAATTAAAAAATTTTTATTAATTATCAACTATTATCTGACTTATTTAAATCAATACAAAATTGTGCAACTTAAAATTTTACAAGAACGACACTTCAACAGGTCCTAGAAACCTGATTTATCGTTAACAACATTCCACTACCTCAAACAAAAGAAAGGAAAGGAAAAGGAGCATATTAAATGCTAAGTAAAGTAATACTGAAAAAATAAACCTCCGCCACAGACTCATCCAATGAAGCCGATGAACGTTTACGGTCACGAACCAGCTTTAAGGTAACACTTGGGAACTCAGAATACTCTGAATGGTCTTCTTCTAGTAAGTAGGATAGTGATGCCGGGTGTTCCTTTTGCTCCCTGAATACTTTTTTCCAAAAGGGATGATATTTAAAGCAAAAAAAAAAACAGTGAGAAGGAATGATAATTAAACCAATAAAACACTGACAAACGCCTCAACATAATAATGAAGGAATAAAGTAAAATATGACTTTAGGAATAATTAACGTACTCTGCGAGTGCGCTGCTTTTTTCGACAACCACGTGTGCGTTGCTCGAGCTGCCATATTCGTACTGAAAACAGGAAATTGCTCTGTAAACTTCTTCAACTATAAAAGCGTCCTCACACTTTTACAAATAATATGAAACGCCAGAAAAATAATTACGCATCTCTTTGTTTAGTTCTGATAAAAAATCATAATTTTTTACGCCTTCTGGACAGTTACTACAGTGTCAATAACCTGTCCAAAAAGCCCCTACAGTACTTCAGCAAAGCACACGCTGATGAAAATTACACACATACCAAACTGTCTTTTGGCTTCCCATCAGCAAATACTTTTTTGTGAACAAGTCCGGTTACCGTTTGGCCACCTAAGATAGGCACTAATTCTGCCATTGCGCGCAAAGAAGCACTGACCATCTGGTCATCGGTATCTTTCATACCAAGAACAAGCTTAAATTAGTAAGAAATCAATAATAACTTGCTATTAAATGTTAATGAAACGTAGAGAGAATTCCTACAACCAAAACAAAAGCCACATATTATACCAAGTCTCCTTCAGGGCAACTTTTTACTTACCTACAAAAAAAATAAGCACACACTACATCGAGGAGATATCAATTAATAATGCTTTGAAAGAAACCATAATAAAATAAAAACCACCTCTTGAAGGACTATGCCTTCCAAGTCTGCTTCATCAATGGCCTTAACGAATAAAGGGAAGTGACGCAGCAATGCAAGGCGCACCGATAATTCATGGACTCGAAATATTTTTAAAATTTCTGGAACAACCCATCGCTTAAAAGGAACGTACGTAAACAACCCGCTTTCGTTGCCATCCTCATCAGGCCGTAAAATGAACGGAAGAAGCTTTTCATGTGCAACTTTGTCCAACAGAACATAACGAGAAAGCAAAAGCGGAACTAAACGTTTCCCAACAACATCCTTGGGCATTTCTTTTAGGTCATTTACAGCGTTTCTAAACAGTTTTACTTCCTTGAAAGCACTAAAAATGAACCGAAAAAAAGCAGAATAATAAACTTACTCGAAAAAGAAAATATTCTGTTTTAATGTCTTGGAGTGAAATTTACGTAAAAAATCCATCATAGCAGAAAGCTTATTGGTAAAAGCAGCTGGATAAGCCGTTACAAGCGAGCCCAAGCTGTCACGCCGTGAAGGATCATCGTCAGTTAGCCTTTCAATGACCAGTTCCAACGCTGTCACCGTCTCTTCTGCAAGCTCAAAAAAAGTAAATCATTAACAGTAAGAAACAGACTTCAACTGCAAGATATTTATTATCAGCAAAGTTAAAAACAAATATTAAAAATTCACCCAGTAAATGCTCTCTTATGTAAGGAAGCACGTAAGCAATCAGTTTTCCAAACGCAAAAGCATCTCTTGCTGCAGGAGGAATATCGGTTGATAACATCAACTAAAAAAAACCACTCAAACACAAAGACAAAACAGCTTAGACGAGGGTTAAAAATGTGACTGAAAAAAACCTGATCTTCAGCGGGAGCAAATTCAGGCAACTTCACCGATCGGACAAAATCCGTCTGTACCCAATGCCGCGAATTTTCCAGTTTTTGTGCGCATTCAAAACCACTTAATTTCCACCGTCCATCAAGAGCAACAAAAACACAAGAAGGACATAAGTTGTTATGAGACAATCCTGCCTAAAACAGTAACTAAAACCCCTATTCTAGCATGAAAAAATTCGAGATGCCTTTTTGATTTGCAACTTGCGATTTTTTTTATTCTAACGAAAAACTATTGTAAAAGACACGTAACAAACATGACTGTTTATAATCTAAAGTAAGAAGGTAAGGTGGTACTATGTCATGAAGGAAGATTAAAGCGTCCAGGATTTGAGTTAGCCCCGTGTGTATCTCAATAGGGGTTAGTGAGTCAATGACCAAATCCAGGACTTGTACTCGTTCAGTCAATAACGTTGCTTCTTTTAAATCCAAACTACTGCTTACATACTCTACGATGTAGGGGTGCCGTAACTTTAATATTGTCTAAATATATTTCACTCACTATGTATAGCAAACTATCTAAAAAACAAGTATTTTGTCAATCTTGAACACTAGTTCTGCCAAAAATCTTCCTTATACTCATTCCGAGCTAAAAAGTCAAAATCCAAATGCAGATTTCCACTTTTCCAGCATTTTCGCCATTTCAAAAAAATTGATGCGTAAAAAAAATTTGAAAACTAACCTTAATCCCGTTTTCAAAAAAAGACCTAGTCTCTGCCGAGTCCGTTTCAGCAAAATGTCGTAGAAAAAGCGTGCATTTACGTCTTTTACTCAGCAGGCATGGATATACATTTGTCCAGATACGATACAATGTAGTAGAGTGAGAGACTTCTTCTCCTATCAAAACATTCTTTAGCAGTGGGGTACTACCTGACGCTCCCATCAAATACTCATATACAACTGTTGAATACCCAAATATAAATCATTGAAAACGGGAAGATATACAGCGGTACCTGTAAAGATATAATTTTTGTTTTAAACCACCTATTACACAAGCAACAGACAATCAAATCTAAAAGTTTAAGTGTAATTTGAAGGAAACGACAACAGCCGATTCAGCGAAAATGACTGAAAAAGAAAAAAGAATAAATTACACAACAGTCGCAGCAGCAATAAATATGCATGCCAAGTCGGTGTTGAAATGACGCTTTCACCTATCACTTTTTCAAAGTGGTTTCAGTTTAGAGAACAACCTCAACGTTTACCAACGCGTAACCGATAACAAAAATTCATTCGACAGTTTAACTTGGCTTCAAACGAGTCACCAGCGTCACAAAAAACCAGTCTTTAAAAAACACCTGGTAAGGTGGAATCAAGCACTGCTAAATCTCGTAGGCAGCAAAAATTTTGTTCGGAAAAAAATTTTAAAATTTTCTGACAAAAGCAACAAGCTCATCCTCAAGCTAAGACCTCATCAAACGAAAAGGTGAGAAAAGGATTCTAATGAGTTCAACAGTCTAAACTGATAACAAAGGCTAAACTGAAAGCCAGTGGTAATAATGAAGAATTTCTAAGCTAGCTTACACCTAACTGCTGAGTCACA